AGGTGGGAGAGAGGATCGCGTCGATCCTCGTTCGTTGCCTTGTGATCAACTGGACAAACACGAGGATCAAAGCGGCGATGGAATGACGGTGTTCTTAGTGATTCGGCCTTTGCGTGTCTCCGGATAAATTGCAATTGTAGGTGCTGATGTTGCCATTTTTATTCTGGAAAAAGAATTCTTAATATTTCAATGAATTAAATGGAAATAGAGTTCGTATGTTTAGTCATAATTTGTACTGCCTTTATGGGTTTACTTTTGTTCAATGCTAATGTTCAATACTTTTGTTAATTATTCAAATTTCCTACATTTTTATTTAACATCATGATAGCGAATAATTTGCTATAATGTGATGTTTAAGATCATTTTCTTTAGCTTTTTCGATATGTCCCATATTTTATATTTTTTATTAAAAGCTCATATCCAGCAATCCAGCGTCGTCTTGTTACCTCAAGGTATATTAGGACTTGCGTTTCACGATCGCTGAATCGAAAGTAGTTATTTATTCATTCAGAGTGAAATGACCTCGTTTCTCGAACTATATATGAGCTTAAACTAATCTATAAATGAATCAGCATAATTATAATTTTAACATCTTCAATTAGAGGGAAATAGCGCAAGTAAATCCAAAATGGTTGTTCAGAAGTTCACTGATAACAAAAAATCTAAGAAAACAACATGGCATCAAACACTTCATTTTTGTGCTTCTCTTAAAATTTTTTCAATAAAGAGAGAGGGTTGTTTACGAAATATAATTTTTTGCTCGTTTAACACTACTTTTTGTGATTCGAGAGAGGAGTATGCTTCGTCTGTTGCTCTTCTCTCTGACGTCTCTTACCCATTATTCAGTTCTATTGCTATGCATTTCTTTCCCCTTAGCTTTATCACTAGTGTTGTAATCCACATTATTTGCTGATCTCGCCTAAATTGCTTCTGCGAAACAGGATGATTCGAAGTCTTTGTTAGTGGCACAAAGGCAAAAGTGAACTGGGATGTAAGATATGGGCGTAAACATTTTTTTAAGTAAGAATTGCGTTAGCGTTTCCTATTGGTAGTGCAATCCTCACTTCATTGAAGACTGTATCCACTATTTGCGTCGCTTTGGGGACCCAGTGAATTTTCTCTTCTTTATATGACGAAGGGAAACTATATACAGTTGAAGCAAATTGAGCTTTATGATCATGATCGCACTGAACAAACGATTAGATACGGAATATTCGCTGGAATTTTCCCGTGCATTTTGATATTTCAAGAAAAACGTGCACACAGAATTGATGTGCGAAATTGTAGATTGATGGCTTCCTAGAATTTTTTTTTTTTTTCAATCTGAAATTCAAGAGTTCGAGTGTGTGGGTTCAATGAGGAGCAACAGCTGAAACACATGTTAACTTCGAGGCAAAATGCAAAATACGTTTTGAAGTGGTAGTCTAATGTGATAATTATATTTTCTCCATTATTTAAATGAACTTGGTATTTTTTCATTCGACGTATCCTTGGGGGACGTTCAAGAAGTTTAAAATGTAATAGGAAATCGCGTCAAACTAAATTGAAATAAATTGTAGAGTTATTATGTTCTGATCTGTTCGTCCACAAATAGTTTTGCATAATTTGTGTTGAATATTCTTATTTGTTGTGTAAAGAACGCACGAACGCTTAGTCCCAAGTGGATTTATATCGATAATGTTTCTCATTAATTAGCGGGGAACTTTTTTGCTGCTAAAAATGAAACCAATAGATCTCCTTTCAATACTGCTTTGTAGCTTCTCTGAGCAGTAGGTCTCTTCGGGGCCTTATCTTGGGCCAGTTCAGCCGCACGTGAATGTTCGTCGACCGTTTTCGACCTTTGCCATTCAGGTGGAAGGAACGGAGATGCTGGAATTGTGGCGGAAGAGGCCGAAGCGGACATGTGCGCGGGCCCGCCCGGGGCCTGCGGGATGCGATCGTCACCGGAAGGCGAGATTTTGGCACGGGGCCCTCGGCGGCGGCGAGGGCGGAGGCGGAGGCGAGGGGGGCGGCGGCGGCGGCGGCCGGGAGGCGCTGGTGCTTGGTTGGCTTGGCGCTGGCGCCTGACTGCTCGGCCGCACAGCCTTGGTCTCAAGGCTTCTTCTGCCTCCGGGCGGCGGGGAATGGAAGGGGCTTATTGTGCGTTGACTGCGCTTGGCGGCTTTTTGACAGCGGGAAGATATATGCCGCCGCCAGGCTCAGAGGTGCCTTTGAAATACCCACCGCGCGGAGCGGCGCGTCATCCCTCCCCGCCCCATCCCCATCCCCTTCGCCCGACGCCCGTTCCGCTGCGAACTGAAGAGTCCAACCAGCAGGAGGGTTCCTCAGCAGTATTATCTTTTGTTCTCGATGAAATATTAAATGTACGCTTTACCTCCGCTGGATGAAGAAATGTTTTGCTCTAGAATCACAAAACTGTAATTGTTGTCTCTCTTGGAATGACTGTATATAGTATTCGAGTAACGTCCGTCCATCATTCATTATTAAACCCCTCTCCTGCTCACCAATCGAGACAAATGAATTGTTACCGACGTGTATCGGCCTCCTGGTGGGGAACCGATGATTTGTTTGCGTATCCATGCAAAGATTATAAGAAATTTCTCCGAATCTGGATTTTTGAGGCAACTAAAACTTACCGTTCCTACAGAAGTGATCGATAGATCATTTGATTCCTCTCACAAAATGTTCCTCTCACTGCTGCCACCCCGTAGTATAATTAGGGTTTTGTAGGATAATTTTGTTATGTAGAACATATGCGATAATGCTAATGAAATAATCATTTTCTGTGGGATAATTTTAACTACGAAATTATGTTCTAGAATAGGACGAAAAACAGACGACTGTTATTTTTCTTTTTATTTAGAACTTTCAATGTTCAACACATTGAAAATAATTTTTAAACTGTTTAAAGCGTTAAAGCGACGCCTCATTCAGGTGGTGGATAAATATTGCGGATCTTGGATTACTGAAAAATATTGCATGGAAAGGAAGTACCTTGTTTCTCAAACCAAAAATAGATTATATTTGTTTCATAATTTAATTCGAAGTCTTGCTGGTTTAGATCTTATTCGGAGCATATAACTCGCTAGTTGAAAAATATTTCTCTTTGTTTTATATACGTAAAAATCTTTTTTTTTTCTTGTAAATTCTCGTTATTACGTTACTAATATTAAGTTATTTCGTATGCCAAATATATTTACTATTCTTTAATATATTTGTTGCTCAAGAGGTTTTTCTTTTCTCCTTCTCGTCTTTGATACTTCCTGAGAAAAATGCCTGGAATTTCCCTCTAAAATTGTTCTTTCCATTTATTGGAAGTTGAGCATCTAATAGTAAATATTGGAAGATTGTTTTCTGTTCATTCGTCTGGAGACTCTTATTCTAAAGTTGCTAAAAAAAAGGCCTTTTTAACTATCTTTGTTCTCCGGTGCTGCTGTATTGTGGGAGGATACCGGACTTCCTATGTTTATCCGGATTTCACCGGATATGTCCCTGTTTCTGCTGGATCTGTTAGTCTGGCGAGGAGCTACTTTGCAGATAAATGTACACCAACACAAAGTGGAAGGCTCCTCGCACAATGGCTTGCGCATGCGCCTTCGTGTGTGGTGCTCGGGTTCGATCCTCTGTCAGTCCAGTCAGGTGTGATTGAGAAGTGAGGAGAGACCCCCAGAAACCAATTTCTCCCAGATCTACTCATTAATCACTCGTGGACTTCAATTACCTCAACAGTTAAAGAACCTCTAAACCCCAGTAAATAAACAAAATACATGTATGCATACACCCATGTATACATACCTATAAACATACATGCCTGCATTCATACAAACCTGCACTCACTCACACATACGCACATCGACACATGAATTTTCGCTCCAGTAAGACTGACATTTGCGTGGAGTATTTTATACCAGGGAATGTGAAAAATCGCCCACCAAAATGTACAACGTTATGTTGGGAACTATTTATAAGTATTAAAGAATAATGTGCTCAAATGACCAGCTGAGGGAAATGTAAAGCAACATTATATTTCTCAACCCTTTAACCCAAAAACTTTGAAAATCTTATCGGTTCTCGGTCAATGATTTAAAAATGCCTCTTCATAAAGATTGGGAGCTCGCTCTTGGGCATGAGCAGCAGTACCCTGGATTCGAACACTGTCCACCTGGGTTGACATTCACTCGACTATCTCACCAGATTGACGACATTTTTTATTGATACTTTTTAGTGTAGTTTATTTATTACGACCCTTTTCAGCCGTTTAGCTCCTTTCAGCAGACCCCTCTAACGTCCTCCCTTACCGCGGAGTCTGCGGACACGTTGTCCCGTCGCCTTTCCGCTAATGTAAATGTATTATATGGGATTTTTTTTGTAGAGAGCTGTTGATACTGTCACCTGATGAATATGATTACTTCGAGTGTTGTAGTTATAGACAACGGCGTTTGCTGAAAATATATTCCCACCCTTAAGTCATTTTGGACAAAAACCACAGATTCATATATGAAGAGACAAGGTAATGGTAAAATACCTAGATTAATAAAGAGAGGCTTACAAGAATCATGTGGGTGGGACTTGCTTATTATTCGTACAATTCTTTTTTTGTAATCTAAAAGTCTGGGAGCTGTAAGATGTAAATGGTCGTTTTGCAGGAATGTAATTCTTTTTCAGCGTATTTTATGTTTAATGTATTACATATAAGAAAATTTAAATGACTTGCAGTTTTTGTTTTGTGAATTATTTGACTGGAAATATCAAACCTTTAATTAACGTGGCATGAGCTATATTCTCTCAAGCGTTTCAAAACCTAAGTCCGCACGGTCTTTTCGTTTCCTCTCTTCCTGCAACGATTCGCACCTCTCTGGGTAGGCACGTTTGGAGGTTGCCTCGCTTCGTGTGATCGGGCAAATACCTCGTAATGAGCGTAGAGTACTAACACGTTGTCCATACTTGGTGTATGAACATGCTACTTAGATGGGCAAATACTGATTTTGCCTGCCCGCATGGAAGACTGATTTTCAATCATATTTGCAGCCTGGAGCGTGTGTTTCTCCAGTAAATGTTAATTTATTATCATCAACCACAGGGGTGCATCAACTAGTCTAGTACACGTTATAATACGGGAGGTTTGCTGTGTTCTACCCTATTGGATTGCGTGATCCTGCGTCCATCCCGTCGGCTTACGGGTTTTTCTCCAGGTATCTCCTTCAGCGGGGCACAGGCCCAACCGGAAGGACGTGTGTGGTTGCGTAGTGCATTTTCTCAAAACTCTTGTTCATTTGTTGTAGGAATTATTAATGTACATTATTAAAGATTAGGACGAATTTCTTCTCTATTCAAGATGCTGTTTTGCAATCATTGTAAACGCATTATTTGGGACAACCTGTTGAAGGTTTTGACGTGTTCCAAAATTTCTTTCATAATTTCGGAAATTGTTACAGTACTTCGAAATCGCGCTGTGTATCGTTATATGTAGCACAAGGGGAAATAATTTCGTCTGAGTCTCTATAGTTGACCTCATACGTATTCTGTTACCCACAACCTCTAGTAAATTGCAATATTATTCAATTCCCTTTATCTAATGTTGCAAAAATTGACTTAACTAGCAGCCAACAGCAGAAAACATGCTGCTAAACAAAACTACACAAAATGGTTTTCCAAAAAACTAGCACGCACACATCTCAAGAACAGCGAATAAATACTCACGTACAACACTACAATAAATTAAATATTTTAACAAAACTTCGTCACGATACAATAAGATTATGTAGCATATTCAGTACAACAGTTTTTTTCGTACGACTTATATAAAAAAAGTTGTTCTATAACGCAACACGAGAATAGCAAATATTTAATGGCGGGCGGCCTCATTCTTGGAACCTTAGTCGTATGACATGCCTGTGTCGTAAGCAGTGATACCCAATAAAATATTGGCATTTATCATTTAAAATCGAAAGTGATTGTTTTTTAATTTCTAACATCAATTACAAAAGCTGGAAGCTACATGAATTTACTTTTCCCTCTTTAGGACTTAAGCTTTTCTGTTTCAAATTCGTTTATTTTCGTTATCTGTAAAATATCATCCCTTTTCGACTATAAAGTACTTTCATGTATTAGTGTTTTTACGACTTTTCTAATTGTTCTTGACGTCGAATCCTGGCGGATTCACATCATTCGAATGGACCAGTGGCATTGGTGTAACTGTCTTGCCCGCAGGCCTAGTGACAGATCAAGGACCCATTACACATGCACACAAGCACACGCAGAAAATATAATTTCTATACAAGAACGAATAAAAATTTGTTGCTTTTTAGACAACTCCTTATGCACAGATATTCGGTAGGTCACGTTCTGACCCAGCCTAGGAGTTTTGATATACTCTCGAAGCATCTGTGCATACGGGGTTGCGTGGCAATCAGGGCAAATGACGCATGTCTAACTCCGCTTTATGAATTTTCTCACTACACGTTCGTTGGCAAAAAGTGATAAAGCAACATCTACATGCTCTAGAAGTGTATAACATTAATCCTGAGACACTATATGTAACAGTGATTGTGATATTTTGTTTATTGACATTTACACACGACGAACTTTATATTTGGCGAACTTTTAAATAATTTGTTCCAAATTATTTTTCAAATTATGGGTAATTTTGTGTTCAGTCGATTGGTTGGTTATCTGGGCATGACAACTGCTATGATAATTAGTTCCTTTGGTGTATGTGGTCCCCCGACGCGTGTAGTAGTGTAGTGCATTGAAACGTGTTTGTAATGTATGTATAGGGATAGTCCAAGGAAAAGGAAGGAAAGATCGCGCGCGTTTCATAGTCGGTTTGTTACAAGGTACCCCTTGTTGCTATTGCCTGGTATTGATGGGCTAAACTGCCGATCGGAGCAGCCGTTCGCTAGCATTCTCCAGCAGCGGAATTCGACGTTGCTGTGTATCTGTGTTGGGTGGCAAGAACCGGCCACTATCGGGAGTCAAAACCTACGATCTCCCGGCCAAATTAGCTAAACTCAGCCCGTGCGTACAATCGATAAGATACTTAAATACTAGATTTTTCTTGACTTATGGAATTTGTTGTATTTTTTAATGATTTACAGTTTTAAAAAAGATTTCTCGCCAGTGGAACCGGCTTCTAAGATAGTGAAACTAATATTATGAATCTACATACATGGGAGAATCTCGACGATAATTGATATTGCTGTATAAGTTCAATTTATTTTCATTCACTTATTCATTGTCTGCAGTATTTGCTTTTCCATGTGATTTATTAGATTAAAAGAAATAGGTTTAAATTGTTTAAAGCGACATTTAATTATGATGCTTGATGAAGTTTATAATATACAATTACATATGTGATCGATTAAAATTGATTTTCCATTTGTGTTTCTCAAACATTTGCATCTTCCCACATGGCGTTAAGCGCTGTAGTACGGCACACAGCATATTTCGATTATTACGATATTTTAATATTTCGTAGATAAGTATAACTTAAAAAACTTATTTTTTAAATAAAGAGAGCTTTTATCAAAATTCTAATTTTGTGGAAAACGATATTTTTTTATCTCAAGGCCGTGACCCCGTTTTTGCCGTTTTAATTTCTTTAAGATAAGGCTCAGAATTGAGGGTTTTTACATTCTACTCCTCATAACGGTTGAAATTTCACTATTAACACCCTTTGAAATATTTAGTATATATTCTGGAACTACTAAAATACAACTCCCAGAGGTCCGAGCGCCATTGTAATAGAAATGAATTCGAAGTAGTATAATAAAATATCATTTGTAAATTCGTAAGTATATTCTTTTAATTGTTAGATACTAGTAAAAAAAGACCCAAGAGTGTGTCGCCTTTGCCTTGTAGAGAGATCTAAGAAATTTTTTATTTCATGCAACTTTAAATTGAAATCTCTTGAACGAAAATAGCTTGAAAATAACAAAGTTGAGTATTTTAAAATTTTAGTTTTATTTTGATAGTGAACGGGGACACTATAGCTGTGGTCTCTGGGCATCCCTGGCAGTTCCGCCATTGATTAAGACGCAATTACAACGACCATTTTCTTCGTTCGCCTAGTGACCACTTTATCCCCGACGGGTGTTTTGTAGTCAATTGTTCATAAAAAAATACGTTATTTATTAACGGACTGCATGCCAGGCTTTTACAATTGTGGTCATAATACTTCAATTTTAATTACACACATCTACGCTAGATGTTAATAATCCACGTTTTAAAGGTGGCCTTCACAACTGAAACATCATCCCAAAACAAAAGTATATACAAAAGTCATAGTAAAAATTCTTACAGTAAAATTTTGTGCCTCCACCCTCAAAGAAATCATTGCTTTCATTTATGTTTTATGAAATGACGTTTTCCTGAACTATACGTAAGTAAATACACAAGCCAGTGGTGCACAAGTTTTTCGTATCGATTATGTGATATAATACTTGCTAAACTCGTGCGAAGATTTCGCACATTTCAACAAGATTGAAGTTTTCACGACTAACAACGAATTTCTTAATTTGGTAAACTCCTAATTGAAAGAAACAAGTGTCTATAAAAGTATTTCGAACCCACAAAAAGTATTTACCCGGGTTGGGACTTGAATTTCAAAACATAGGTTTGTGCGTTCCACACATAAGCTTATGCCACCTGATCATTCAAGACTTAATATTCCCAGAAAAATGTATATAAATACACATTTAATTTTTGAAAACCCGAAAGTTTTAATTATAATAGCAATTGTGCCAATTAATTATGTATATTGTGCTTTATTTTCACAAAACCTTAAAAAATAAATTGGAGCCGCTTTTAAAGAAAATCTTGTTTACTTTCTTACAGAAAATGTTCAAGATTTAACTAAAATTATGCGAAAAACTCTCGTATTGGAAAACAAGTGGATAAGATTTCATTTAAAGATTTAATTTCGAACAATACATTCCATTGAGAATATAATGCTCAGCTTCAGTAATATAGTTGGAAATGAACAAAAATAATTTATACTTTTGCAATTTTTAAAATGCTGAAATTTTCATTCAAATATCTGTCAACTGAGGGCACTTAGCTCGACGTTTTGGGCATCCTCATTTCATAAATAAACAGGTAATTTCGCGGATACGCTCGTAACCGCGTCTTTGCCTCAGGAGTCATATCCTGAAGTTAACCGGTTGATTGTGGTTCACTCGGTACATTTTTCATTATTATTATTATTATTGTTGTTGTTGTTGTTGTTGTTGTTGTTGTGTTTCGCGAATCGGCCATTATGGGGTCACGCGATACATGCATCACACCGGGGCTCAGTCTTCAATATTGCGATAGGTGCACATTACTTTCTATTTTAACGGCGATTCTATTTTTACACCCCAGAATAGTGAGCCCTGAGAGATGGGGTGAAATTGTGGTGATGGTGATGATGAATGATGAAATAGACATTCACAAACATACAGAGACACGCACAAGACAACCATACCCGAGGTGGAACTCGAACCCGCCACCTTCTGATCCGAGACCGCTACGGCACTACCGCCTACGGATCGGCTATTATTATTATTATTATTATTATTATTATTATACTGATGATTATGATAATGAAAATTATGTACAATTTCTCGTAATCTTAAATTTTGTTTATGCACGCCATTAAGGAGCACTTACAATTAGATTCGGACTCCAGCCTGTTTAAGTTTTATGCCCGTTTAATAAGGTTCATGGCAATTTATACATTTTTTGTGTAATTAACCGAATTTGGTAATGTTTAAAAATAATTATCTGACTTTAGAGGGTCGAAAATATGATTAAATTTGTACGCGTGAAAATTTCATATTTAACGAGAATAAAAGTCTGAAGTATTTTGGAAAATATATTTTTACAAATGCTGTTTTGTACTTTGTAATCCAAAAATTGACTTTAATCGTTTTGTAAGTTGCTTTTGCAGACATTTGGTAATATGTTGAAACGAAAGTGTAAAAAATATAAACACATTAAGTAAACAACCAATTACAATATAGTACCTACTTTTCTGTTTTGTTTTAAATGCACGAAAGAAAGTAGTGGCAATTTAAGGCGAACAGTATATTTTCTCGAACTTACCGATCCTATTATATCCTGTTGTAAAACTAAAAAACATTTTGGTCCAATCAAAAATAATTGGATATTTTTTTGGCTGATTATACAAAGAATGATCCGTTATTATTTATTACGACAATATCACAGTACACAGCTCGTGACATTTATTGGGATTCAAGCTACATTTACGTAATTTCATTATTAAATTCGATTAATGTTCGAATGTCCTCTTTTTTCATGTCATTGGATTAAACGTAATTATGCTTTCTCATACTACGTTCACGTCAGTAAATGTACGGTTTTGTTGCAGGTTGATGACCAGATGAAGTTGCTGCAGCACTCGTGGTCAGATATGCTGGTATTGGACCATATGCATCAAAGAATGCATAATAATCTTCCTGATGAAACGACGCTGCCTAACGGCCAGAAATTCGACCTCCTTTGCCTGGGATTGCTTGGAGTTCCCACACTTGCCGATCATTTTAATGATGTAATGGCAAAACTTCAGGATTTGAAGTTTGATGTCAGTGATTACATCTGCCTCAAATTTTTACTTCTTTTGAATCCAAGTAAGTATCTCAACTGTGCTTTGTTCATCGAGAACCAATGAATGAATCACCGATTCTGATAAGGGTCAAGGATAATGTCTAGATATTTAAATACTTAGTTGTTCATAGAAACTCCAAATCATACTTATTTTGCAGTTTTGGCCATCAGATTGTCATTTACTATTTCTATAAATGTGAAATGAATGTCACAGTGAGTTCGTTTACCACAAACTATCAACCACAATTGTGTGTACAATACTAGCAAAGGAAATGGATAATGCAATAGACTCGCGATTATCCTGGTCCCTATTAACAGAAGATTCAGGATAAACAGTAATCAGAAATAAACAACCAAATAATCCATTGAAAAAAGGAAATCATTTGTATAAATTCCCCGCTTGCAGTAACGAACCGACATGTACGCTGGGCAATGGCATCACCGATTTCTAGGGATATTGGAACTAACCCAAATTCGATGATAATGATATTTTTCCGTCAAATATTAGTCAGATCACTCACGTTCAGTCGTCTCTTTGTGACTGGTAAATTCGCTAATTAATTTATATTGTGTTCTGTAATTTATATTTTTACATTTGATCCTTCACCAAATGAACTCCGGATTATTCGAATTCTTTTTCATATTGGACGGATATTCTTTGCCAATTATTGTTGGATAATAGCGAGTCTGTACTTGATTTATAATATTCCCAAGAGACCTGAATTTGCCCCCAATATATCAGATCGGTATTGATTTCTCCCATCATTTAAGCAATGCTGATCTGAAAGTTTCCTAAATTCTGCCATAGACTACAATTGTGTTGGTAGCATTTTAAATAACATATAGAATGCAATATTTTCTACTCACAGTTATTCTGTAACGTAGCTAGAAGTGGTGTCTTCTCAATCAATCTAATACAAAAATATATGGGATTAATTGCTTATAAATATGTTTTAATAAAAATCACATGTTTACATATAGGATCACGAATCCAATGTAATTGCATCCTTTACCATGGAAAGAATTTCAGATTAGAGAAAACCTTAATGAAATAAATTATGAAAATTATTAAAATTAATATTTGAAATTTTATGCAACGTGAGTCATTTCAGGTAAAAAAGCGCACCACCGTCTTCTCAATTAGATAAACAAACGTTTATATCATTTGGTTGAGAAATGCTTCTTTTCTACACTGCTGTTTCTTGACTATTTCTCTTTATCTATAACCTCCAGAAGATTGTGCGAAAAGAGTCGAAACGCTGGGGATATTTCTATGTAGAAATCTCGAAGTAGAATTCTGGAAGAAAAAAAATCATCTTTATTCGAATACAAATGGTGCAAAACGCGTTTTTGTGAATTGACGGACTTGGTTGGTTATTTTGACAGCTTTGTAGAACGCACGGTTCTGCAATCATGTCGGACCTCGACGGCCGACTATGAGAATTATAGTACACTCGCTGTTCGCAAATGATCTTCCAAGTTTCAAATGTGCACAAAATTCCAGTGACGTACAAGTCGAGATGAAATCGGAAAATTACAAAAAAACGCTTTCCATTGGAATCTGTTCTTTCGAGGCCAAAACAGTAAAGGAATGATTTATTGGTAAGATAATGAGAAACATTCCAGTGTTTCTTCCACTTGAAGTGACTCATCCTGTATTAAAACTCAAATTGTACAATTTTAAATTATCACCTCTAGAATAGAGCAACCTAGGGCAGACTGTCGCTTTCCCTTCAGTAACAACCATTTCTGCCTGTTATTCACTACTCTTATAACATCATTGCCCTTCAATTTTCTATGAAGTATAGAAATTCTAATATTTTAATTTTAGAATAATGTGTTCTTTGTGTGTTTTTGAGAGTTGTAGATCCTCGTAGTAAAAGTCTGCTTATTAATACATTTTTGTATGGTATTAAATGGTAACATTGAGAATATGCATTTCTACCTTTACAAATACTCCAGCAATTTCTGAAGTCATTATAAATTAGTGTATAATTGTGTCCTTCACACAATTGAACTCTGAGGAACAAATATGGCAATTAGCTAATGAACTGTAGGAATATGAAAACCAAATCATGTCTTTGGTGTAGAAAGTTAGTTGATAAATGGAAGCTGTTTATTCTTAATGGCAAAAAACTGTCACTTCTACTTAATAATCAAATACAAACTAATATGTTACAAAAATTAATTTGACATTCATTGTACCTTTTATTGTTGTATAAGAGGATGTCATTAACAGTTGTTTTCATCTTTTCATCTTGGTGTTTTGAATATTTCACTAAACATACTGCTTTTTAGCACACAATAAATATATGATAGAATCATAATTATCTGTATGAAGCCCAGATAGCAGGAATGCCGTTCTTATGACTGTACAGTATGTCACAGTAAATATGTTTCAACATTAACATTAAATTCATAAGTGTTGTGAAATTGTGAAATCTATCTGTGAGATGTCACAAATGAAAGATAATTACTTTAATCAACTATGTTGGATGAAAAACTGTTGGAAGGTTCCTGAGTATATAATACTGACTTGATACTGAAAGTTTAAAGAGTTATTTATATAGAAAAATAATTCATGCTACATCTTTGTGAACATTAGTTTGGCTATATTTGATAATGGCTATAAAGTATTGTACTCAAATACGGAAATCTTTCTCATTCAACTATCAAAGCAAGAGGAAGATCTTGTGAATATCCATCAGAACAAATTAAAAATAACGCCCTATATCAATGAGCAGTATTCTTCTTTTCAAATTGGTAACGTGAGAAAAAGAAGATTCGTGATTTAATGTTCAATACCACTTGTTATCAATGCCATGTGTCTTCATCAATTTTGATGTTGTTGTTCTCATATCTTGTTTTGATATTTATTCCTGTGTTTTCATAGATGTTCGTGGAATCATGAACAAGAAACATGTGATGGATGGCTATGAACAAGTACAGCAGGCATTGCTTGACTACACACTAAGCTGCTACCCTCAGATCCTGGTGTGTTACCTACAATTTTGAAGCATCGAAAAGAGTGCTCTTGCTGTTTTCAGTGTGTGCACATTTGTATTCAAATATGTTGATGTGTAAAAATTCAACAGAGATAAATTATTGTCAATAGAATTTAGAAAGTCAAGAACATTTTTTTTGTGGGTATAGGTTGTCCTGACAATGTGGAAAGTCTTCACATGTATACAAAAGTTGGAAATTTTGAAGGCTTTGTTGCAATAAAGGTCTCCCAATTTGTAATTTTAAGTATATTCTTGTTTTAAAGTAAGTATACAACTGACACTCAAACAAGAATATGAGTTGTTGTATTTATAATGGGACTTTATATTAGAGCACTGTGTCACATAGTTATTTTAATTAGGCCAGTATTATTGTAATCTCTTTCTGTTGTTTTATTGGGGGTATTACTTTTTGTTCCATGTTGGATTTGGTAGACTTTTAGTTCCATGTTAGATAACTTTTAGGGATTTTTATTTATTTAATTTTTTATAATGAAAGATTTCAATTCTAGTCTTATTGTTGAAATGACAATCTTAAAAAAAATGTTTTAAAGTGAGGAGCAAGTTTTAAATGAAAACAGTGTTTAGTAATGAGATAAAATTATTAATTGTATTGATATTGCAGATTAATTGCAAGTGTGCACAATTTTCAGCTTGAAACACTTTTAATTTTACAATGTTGTGTGATACTATCGGCATGAAGGGTGAAAATGAATGAAATGAAATGAGACTTCATCTTCACCCATCCTGCCGATAGTAACATAGACATGAATGCTGATTGCTATAAGATCATTAAATTGACATGACTGCAATGTTTGATTTCATAGTTTGATTGGTTAGAGTTCCTGTCCGGAAAACGGAAAGTCTCTGGCTTGAATCCCAATGGAATCAAAGATTTGCACTTTGTGACAATCCTTTTTCAATTTCATTTGCTAGTTTTTAGATTTATGAATTGTCTATCAATTTAGTTAAGATAATTTGTGCCCTACCATATTAATGGTGTTTATTGCCTCGGGAACCATTCAGTGTGATGCTTATTAAATTGACATCACAAATTTGATCTTGCTAATGAATTAATGTGATCTACTATTGTTAGGCAGAGTGACCTTTTGCTTTTTTCTACAATAAAGAAACAAAAAACGAGAAAGAAAGAAAGAAAAGAAAAAGAAAAGAAAAAAAGGGGGAAAAAGATGGGAAAAGAAGTCCAGAGTTTGTAAATAATGTGAAATAAGCAGGGATGGCCCAGAAAGTATTTCAGCAAGAAGCCAATTTCAGTTCAGACCTCCGTAAATATTCTTAAAATAATAAAAAATGTTAGTAATAAATTTAAAAAATGTGCATTTGTAATGAGAATACTCCTTGGGAATGTGTGGTGATCAATATGTGGTAATTCTTTTTAATCAACTGTGGGAAATTACAAAACAATTAAGATTGGTGGGAGGAGGGCAGCACATTCCCTGCGACTCCCTCCTTCTGGATCAAGCTCAGAAAACAATATAAAATCTGTTATTAGCTTTCTAGTGATAGCTCACTTCTTCTGAAATTGTGTAAGTGATGAAACATTTCACATCATTCTTTCTGAACTTAAACTTTGTTATTGGGTGGGTTTTTCTTTTCTTTTTTATTCCTGTACATTTATTTATTCTGATTTTGATTTATTTTTTACGTATTGTATTTTAATTTTTGCCAGTAATAAATAAGTACTATATATCTAATAAGTTTTATTTCTGTTTTCTTGTAGGATAAGTTCCATAAGCTACTTATGATCATGCCTGAAATTCATCAAATGGCAAGTCGAGGCGAGGACCATTTGTACCACAAGCATTGTACAGGGGGTGCTCCCACACAGACATTGCTAATGGAAATGTTGCATGCGAAACGAAAATAGCAGCACTAAAATGGAAGCAAGTGAATACGATTAAATTTGCACCAAGTGAGTATAAATATTTCATTTTAAATTATGAAATTGCAAATGTAGGGATAACATAAGGACAATCCCTAGAAGATTTCTTTTTTTTGAATGTGAATTTGAAAAGAGATTTCATTATGCTCTGTGATCTGAACTTCTTATAATTTTATCATGCACTATTTTTATCATATTACATAAATTCAACTGTAACATTCGATTATAACATTGTAAGTGAACATAGAATAACTTAGTATATTACATTGTGGTATTTTCATCAGTATGATATAAATTCCATTACAGTAGTTTTTAAAACTGTTTGGAATAATTAGTAATCATACTTACAATGTTAATATGATGGGATTAGTTCATGATCAGTAGTGGCAGAAATAAATTGGAATATAGTTATATATTTCATGCTGTGTCACATTTGCTATTGGATTTTTTCCCCTCCCAATTATTTCAATTAGATGAGATAATTTCAATTTAGTGATAATTCCTTATTTTGAGGTGCTTGAAAGAGCTTAATTCATTGTTTTGCCTTTAAAAGTTGGATAGCTTATGTGATGATTCTGCTATATATTATTTTGTGAATCTCTCCTTATTTGGGTGATATGATTACTCTCACCAAGATCTTAGATAGCTATTAGGAACTCTGAAGTTAATAAATTTGCAGAAATTAAAGCTTGTTGAATAACAAAATAAATTATTTTATGGCCGGTTATTTGCTTGTATTATATTCCTCAAATTAATTTTCAGTTGTTTCTTTGATAAGTGTCCTCTCAACTCCTGTTTCCGTCCAATTAGACTATACCAATATTGTTTTCAGAAAAAAATATACTTAATTATTATTAATAAACAATCAGTTGTATTCATATTATGGCTTTTTTAAGAAAATTTAATTTTTTCTCTCATTTGATTCCAAGAGTCTTAACAAAATGTGCTTTGATTAAAACAGAACATTAAGGAACATGCATATTAAGGTATTCAGTAAAGTTTAATTAATTTTTCTCAATGCTCCTAGCAGTGAAAAAGTTAAAAGTGTAACTGCAAAAGGGAAATCCTTAGCAGATAGCTCATATATAGTGTGTCTATATAAAAAAAATAATATCCATTCTTAAATATTCAATGACTTCAAGAAGCTGTACGCAAGTGCTTTTCATAATCGTCTTCAAAATTGTAACTTCTTCCTAATTGCAATTTGTTTCTCCTTTCCACTTATTCATATTCACAATGCTAACCACCAGAACTACTTATGCAATTTAGAGGAATGCCTATATAAGTAATTGAGGTTTCTGGACACTTTCAGTGCTTTGAAATTTGTCCTCACAGCAAAATTATTACTAGAATTGCAGTTAATAGATGTTAGAATTTGTTTCATAGTTGTACATATTGTGCTAAATATCCACATTCAAACATGACGTTTTTCCAAATTCCAAGGTGTACTTATTTGTATAATATTCTATATTTCTGTAATTCTAAAATCCATGTATTATTCAAAAGTATGAACAATAAAACGGGATGATCAAAATCTATTTAAAAATTCTTACTTTTTTTTGTAATATAAACCAGAAAGGGACTCATTTCTTTGATTAGTAGCAATAAACATTTATATTAAAGAGAAGGCTGCCCAAAAATCAATTAGAAAACTATTTTGATTAAGGTCATTAAAAAAACTTCTGAATAAATTTGTATTTTCTTGAGAGCAAAAGTAAATGATATGCCCCAAAAAATATGAAATTTAGTTGTAACCATTTAAAATAAGACAGTGTGCCCATGTTATTTCACAAACACTGATAAACTAATTTAAAGCGTAAATATTGTTGTTAAGTTAGTTCAAAATGACTCCCCTAGAGAGCATGCAATTTTTTTTCTCTCTCTGGGGGTTCTGAACAGGGTTGTATTTAGTCTATTGTAATTTAGTCTAATGTAACATCTGTTGTAATTAGGTAGTTAGGTTCTCAACAGGGTAATTCTACTGTATATTTATTGTAAAATTTATTGGTCACTTTTGAGTGTTATGAATGTATACTGGTACTAATGAAATGAGAATAAGAAAACTTTGAGTAATTCTATTAAAATCTAAAAATTTCAAAATGAAAATATTCTAATACTATGAGATTCAACTTGTATATTTTATTGTTTTCACCAACAAATTGATGATGTGGTAAAAGACAAGATTAGTGTGCCTTATTTCTCAAACTTGTAGCAAAACAGCCATAGCTACTGCCTGGAAGATCAAAAATGTTCTCATCTGTGTGAGGCATTATGCAGATTAGTTACACATGTTTAAATAAAAGTTTAATATATTTGCTTTATTGAATAAAGAATATTAGATTGAAAAACACTGAGAAAAGTTTATTTAATCTGATGACAATCATACATGACAAAACAAGGTCACCTGATGAAGAATGTAAAACAACTTTCGAAACACTGTGCTTGTAATTTTAAATTGAATTAATGGAAACACAACATTAACATACGAATTTTGATTCTCATTTTTTTTCCTTCTCTCTCTTTTTTTTAATTATTAATTTATTATTATTTTATTATTTATTATTAATTTATTATTATTTTATTATTTATTATTATATTATTATTTATTATTAATTTATTATTATATTATTATTTATTATTAATTTATTATTATTTTATTATTTATTATTATTTAATTATTAATATTTATAAAGTGAGCGTGCAGTTCATCTCTTCATAAATTTCTTTTAACACCTCATTGACAAATGTGTGGTTGGAATGACTGGTGATGGGTTAGGTGTGGGAGCTGTAAAACTTATCTTGAACTACGTTCCTGGATTTTTTTATGTATGAAATTTTTTTCATTGACGCATTAAGAATATAAAAGACTACAGCTGTTTAATATATAATACAGATATAATTAAGAGAGTAATTTGAATAACATTATTTTTCATAGACAAATCCTATTATTTTGGCAGACAATTTGTTTCTTCTTTTAATTGTTTTGTTAAGTTGTACAAATTTGTTTACAATTTGTACTTTTTTGTAACTTACCTCAAATAATTAGCCTTGATCTCTAGTTTCACAATTTATGGGAAAATGACAACTTGTATAAACATTTTTGTGCTAAACACATGAAAAAACAGTGTTGACAAAGTTACTCTATAAATAGGGTAACTATGCCAACTGTTAAAATGAAGTACAAACCACATAAAAAGGAAGGAAAAAGGGTTTTTAGCTATACAAAAACTGTACAAATTATTATTTAATAGGGTAGGGGAAAATGTTATTTTTATGGTTTTAAAAATGGATATTTTAAATTTAAGGGATATTTTAAATTTAAGGGATATTTTAAAAATTATGTGTAATTATCAATTTAGACTTTTATTAAATTATTTTGTGATTATAAGAATCATTGCTAGTTCACTGTACAATCCAGCAAACTTATTACTATTACTTATTTACTACTGAAATATCTTAAAAAAAAAACTGTCGGACTATTAGTCTGTTAGTTTATTGAAAGGAAAAAAGCTTTAATAGTTGTTGTGACTCGAAAGGCAAAACAATGTTTTGAAGCGCTGTAAAACAAGCTAATTGGGCAATCAATCGTGGTATGTACTTACACATTTCTTACTGCATGTCATTGATCATTCTTATAGCTTCTGCAATGACAGTATCTGATCAATAGATTTTTTTTCATATATTATCAAATAAGTGGGTGTGTTAAAGGAATAAATTAAATGTAATCTCAAATTTGAATTATTTTCATCTAAAAGATTGAATTACCGGTGCCTTAAGACTTTTAACTCTTATTCTAAAACTACATATGTTCAATAAGCTGTTTCATGTAGTTAGTAAAGATTCTTCCAAAACATTTTTGAAAAATGTAATAACGTACAGTTAAATGTTCTACAAAACAGTACTAATTTTATTTGCATTTATATTCTCTTCTAAAAGTAGGGTCAATTGACTGTAAGATTAAATTAATACATTAAAATATAAAGGTTAATGTAAATAGGTTAAATAAATAGAACATAATTTGTGATGTGTTTTGCAATACATTAATTGATTTACTTATAATTTATCACCATTTATTATCATGAAATAAAGAGGAGTCCATAAGGATAGAGGCAGATAAACTAGTTTGCTTTTTCCTAATGCAAATCATGCATTCACATGTAAATTTAGTAATTTAAATATTTTTCTTTCTGGTTTTTGGCTATATCAGAATGTATTTATATAGGAAGATGTATTACAAAATTTGAACCAACAATTGCCCTGCACAATTATCAAAAGCAATTCATGAGTTTTCTTATTTTGCAATCTGGTTGCAAGTTTTTTCAATAGCTGAATGCCACAGCAAGATTTTACTTCAAGTCGTCGCAAAAAATATTTATGAAGTTCATTTTAAAATTTGTGGCATTACTGCTAAATGATTTCAAGATCAAATATATAATAGATGTGTATAATATTTTTAGTTGCCATGTATATATGGCCATATATACAGCAACTAATATTGATAGACATACAACTTTATTTAAAAAATCTATTTGCTTCTCTGTATATTTCAGGAATATATTTCTTCTGTGAACCAAATATTTATGTAAATGAAACAATTTTTAAATAGTTTTGTATCTTTTTTTTTTTTTCCAGATATACAATCAAGACCATCCGTTTGAGGCTGAGCCTTTGGTTCTTGGCAAAATCATATTCTCATGCATCATATTTGCCCTGCGTGGTTTCAGATATGGCCTGTTTTTGCATATGCCTTATGAAAGAATCATCACAACATTAGGACTCAATGCAGCCATCTTCTTGGAATGGTGATTTACATGTGAAGCTGGAAGACTCAGTGTAAATTAGAGAATATGTGATTTGGCTGAAATGGGAACGATTGTTGTCTTGTTGACACAATTTCATTTAACGACAGCAGGCTCTGGCAACAAAATTAACGACTGTATATACTTATGCATTTGTAGTTAATGAACAGATGGAAAATTGGACAAATATTCTTGATTCAATTTTGAGCTGTGGAACTTGTGGATGAGCGAGTCATACAGTGTTAGTGTCAAGAACAAAGACAAATCAAATAGTTCCTTCCATCAGTGTTGTGATGTTAGAGAACATCTTATTCATAAATATTTCGTGAAATGTTCATGAAAATATTTGTAATTGAATGAGTGTGATGTAATGGCTTAACACGGGCATTATGCTAGTTACCGGAAAGCTGATAGTATGGTAATTCAGGTTCACATATTTTAAAGGAGGGGTAAAAAGCAGCTACTCTTAGCATAGCAATTTTGTGTGGAAAGTGCAATAAAGAATACTTGGAAGTCCTGATGAAATATAAAACAAGATTCTATATTGGCTAAAAGTAAGCTTTTATCTTCTAATTTTGTATTTTACAAAATATGAACAAAGAATTGACAAATAATAGCTGTATATTTAACATATACCGAAGGTGATAATTGATTTATGTCATATTTTAATATGCCTTTTGACTTTTTTTAAAAATTGCCTTTAAAAAGTACAAAGTCAAAAAAAAGTCATAGGCACTTTGTTAAGGAGCTAATCACTCAGGATATGCAAAGTACTATAGATTGAGCTTTGCCTCCTTATGCGGGAGATGAGCTGTGATGCCCCACCCTGTGGTCAGAGCACCCAGCAGATGGAACTTGGGGCGCTACACCATCCCCAGATTAATGCATTTTTAAGTATAAAAGATTTCTTTAATTACCATTATCAGAAGAAATACAGATGCTTCTCTATCCTCTGGAACAGACCACAATAACCTTGCTCATTTTAAAAACTATTTATGTGTTTGTGCATTCTCACATTCCAGAGAGCTAAAGCATTCTGGAAGGGATATAAGGGCATGAAACTATTTAAGCTAGTTTTACCACTGTGAAGAAATATAATTGCAGGGAAGATGATAATTGTGCTGCTTTTTTAAAAATAACAATAATAACAGTAAGAATAAGAAATAAATTTTATAGCTTTATTCAGATTCTTTATTATTTTGTTGCATTGTTAGTCAACAAACTGAGTTAACTTCTGAAACATTCCTTATAAGTGCACTTTGTATATTTTGAGAATCTTGTGCTCTTTATATTAATTGTTTTCCTTTGAGGAGAAACCACAATACCGAGAAATTGGTTGTAGAAGAGTGACATTCTTGGCAAGTTATTTTTTTTTTTTTTTAATTTTTTTTTTAAAGAAAAAGTTATTTAAACTGTTATTTAATTAACAAATCTTCAATGAAGAAGGGTCTGGTGGTGGACTAATTAAGATTCTATATAGATTTTGTTGTAGTATAAATTGTGTTATTTTCTAACAGCAAGGAGCAAGGCTGCTGTGGTCAAAATATGTTATAATGTGTATTTGTAGGCTTGTTAAGATGTGTAAAGAACTAGTTGTTAAAAAGATATATAAAAAATTTAAGATTGTTACTGTGAACTTTTGTGAAGTGAAGTTTTCAAATTGGTAACACTTGTCTCTGGTATCTCAAAAGATACAAAAACAGTAGTTACCTTGTCCACAATTCCTTGTAAGGGATGCTGCTTTCTAAAATCTCTTTGCATTTGTTTTATTCTTAACTCTTTTCTTGGTTTAATCATTGTAATATACTCTGCATTATCTTTTTATTGCGCTTACTCTCACAACAGTGTTCATCTAAACAGGTTGTCACCTCATACTGGAAGTATCCAGTACATTTTGACTTGTATTTAGTGTAGGTTTTGTGATGGCATGTTATTGCTAAAAAAGCAATATTACTTAAGTGCCCAAGTAATAGTTTTAATTTTATTATTGTGGTCCATCTGTTGTTTGACAAGGTACTTTAAGGGTCTGGAAAATATGTATATTATGTAAATACATAGAACGACAGTGATAAATATTATATTTTTATGATATAGTCTTAATTTTTCAACTGTAAAACTTTATTTTTGTATGAAAGTTCAATTTGAAAATGGAGAATTTATATGGAAAATCCCTTTACATTGATTTTTGTCCTAGTAAATTAGCAAATCCTGCATGCTAGGGGTTAAATGTGTGTTGTTTGATTAATGTTGTGAACTGTTTTTACTGTTCAGGTAAAACCTGACAGTTCAGTGATATGATCCTCAAGCAGGTGGACCATATAATTAAAAAATTTAGACAACCTGAAATAATAGTATCGTTTGTTTGTTTTCTTTCTTTCTTTCTTTACATTCTTATATTCACTGCCATGGAAGATTTGCTGTTGGAATTCCAATTTGTATTTGGCATCCCTTGCATTGTTCACACTTTTTTCTATTTGCTGTTGAACTAAAACAAATTGAAGAATTGTTGGTATAAAAGCCATTATTTTATAAAGTGCTTTTTTCTTATCTAGAAAATATGTCCATATGCACCACCTGAGGTCATTATTATTTTTGTTTGTTGTTTTTGTGATCTGCAGAGAAATATATTTTATGTAGTTCTAAATAAAATATTGAATGTTAAATCAAAAGATTGATTTAATTGATGTTTAGACACTTGGGTGGTGCACTTGAAGTGCTTTAACATAGAAGTTAACAACTGAGCAAGTAAAATAATTTGTAATCACTTTGTAAGATGTTGGATCACCTACTTTCATGTTACATGATGCACTTTGATTTGAATGGTGCAGCCGTTCATCCCAATATCGTGAATTATTCCTTCTTTATTTTTCTTATGACTTACCTTGTGAATCTTCCTCCTTTTCCCTCCATGTTTGTTGGAGACAACTTTGTTACCTCAATTTTGCCCACAGTATCAAGTCACCATGCTGAATGTAAATATGGACCGGTTCTGTAATTGCTATTATTTGTACAAAATGCTGTATCCGTTGTACGGATATTATTAATCTTTTAAAAAGTATTGTTCAGTGACAGGTGGTTTGTTTCAAATCTTTGTTTTTATTTTCTTTTTTTTTCTTCTTCTTCTTTTCTTTGCCATTGGCTGGTGAACTGATAAATTACAAACTTTCTATGTGGTGAGAATTACTGTAATGCAGTAGATTTGAACATTTTTGTGTATTAAAAGTATTCATTTCTTTAATTAGTAAATTTGTGTGTTAAAAGTATTTTGATATTGAAACAGACCTCCTGTAATGCAAATGTTCCCCTACCGCAAACAGTGTGTCCATGGAGGTAGGCGACAAAGCTGTAGAATAAAACACCTACACATTTTCAAATATTTCAGTGTTTCTTTAATTATTTGAAACCTTCTGTCCTGTGGCATCAGAAAATATTCCTATATATATCTAGAAATTATTAGCACATAACCAGGGAAAGAAAAAAAAAAAAAGATTATGGAGCCTTGAAAAAGTATAGCTATTAAAAACTGAGTAATAAAAACCAGTTTATTTGATTTGGATTATTAATTATACTGTATGAACAGGCAAACACCTGGACCAATTGCTGATCTGTCAGTTCTAACAAACATCAGATATGAGGAAAATTATGTAAAATTATTCAATTAAAATATGCAATAGTACATATTTTAAAAAAGGTTAGAGAAAATATAGAACTAATTCAAATTCTTGCAAGTTATGCATAGGCATTCTCTGTCAGAAATAAAAGATTTTGCCAGAAAAATTCATATTGTGGGGCCCTGGTATCAAAAAATTGAGTAAATTACTTTTTTACACATTGTACAGTCAGAAGCCATTTTGTGTGTCTTTGACTCTGAAAAATCATGATTGCAAAACTGTCTGTCCGTCTTCCTCTAGCCAAAGTTAGCCTCGATTTTCTTCAAATTTGTATTCTCCAATTGATCTGGGTCAGGGGTTCCTAATGGGGTTAATATCGACCACCTGGGGCTCGAAATTTTGAAGGGGGGCAATAATGATCAAAGGATGAATTGGGGGTCTGTAGCCGAATATGAATCGGAGATTGATATGTGTAATCAAGATCTCATTGGTTTCAAAAATATTAAATGAACTTTATAATTAATTGCATTCTAATAGAGAACAACAAAACATGTAACAATAAGTAACAAATTCGCTCCTCTTCACTTGTATCCTTTGTTCAGCCTTCGGATAAGGGCTGCAGCTAGGGTGGTGCACTGCAGTGGTCCCCAGATGTAAGGGGCCTTTAATAAACACCCTACAAATGGTTATTGGCAAAGAATAAAACAAACTGCACCTCATGCTAAATTTCTCTACTCTCTCCCTATATGTATTACAATTAGATTAAACACACTTAATTTCAGGGTTATTGGAGATTGGTGTTCCATTTTAATTTTCTGTACCAGAATATCTGAGAACCTGGCTTTACAACTGGTTAAGTTTACAAATGTTTAGAAAAGTCAACAAATTACAACTATGTATTGACAATGTTATTCTACTGTGGAAAAAGATATTCCCAGATATACATACTGGAGAAATGTTATTGCTAGGAAAAAATGCTCAACATTTTGTAACCATTGCACTACAATGAAGATATGAAAATCAGATTCTCAGAAGTGGAAGAATCTTTGCTTACAATAAATCTAGATATTTACCAAAATATTGTATTCAAAATTGTTGTCTTTAGAATATTTATGTTCAATTTAGTGTTACGGTTATGTATAAATGGAAAAGAATAATGTATGGGGGTTAATGGAGTCGACAATTCTTCTAAAAAGGGTTGAAAAATGAAAAAATTTTGGAATCCCTAAACTGGATCGAACTTGAGGCCCTGTGAGTTTGAAATGGATAATTTCATTTTTGGGGGTACACCAACTTTCATGAAGCCTCAACATTTTCAACAATTTCTCAAAAACGGCTCCAATTATTTTATTAAACATCGTCCTTGAGTAGCATAAACCATGTTTAAATAATGACACAGGTCTAATTTTCATTAAATATCTGAATTTTAGAAAATAGCAGAAGTACAAAATGTGTGTACTGCTTTCCTACAACTACAATAATGAAAACTAATTTGTTCTTCAAGATAGAACTTCAAATAAACCCGTGTACAATTTTTCAAAAATTGAATATTTTGTGTTAAATTCAGGCTATTATTAATTATTTTCTCTGAAACAGCTTCAGATATTTCCCGTGATAGTGCAGTTGACACTTATTAAAGTGCACAGGTCCTGTTTTTAGTGTTCTCTACATTTTGAAAAATAGTAATTGTAAAAATAGTAGATGCTTCCCTTGTTATTCCCGGCTTATGTTGCTGAGAGGCTGGTAGGGGAAGGCACTATGCCCCTGCTGCTGCCTCTCCCTTACATAGGGAGCAGGGAATCATAACGCTAGCGCTCCCTTTGCTGGTGCGGGGATACTACAATGTAATCTCAAAAAACAGGGAAACTCTGTAAGCGATGTACGGGGGCGATTCAGGTTGGATTCCCACTGGTTGCCATAGCGCTGCCCAGCCACAGCTGTTTTTACTAATAGCATCGACTTTTTCATGCGATTTCAAAAATTAGTTTTTAACCGTTCAACAGTGTCCAAATTTTAACTGCTACGTAGTATCCAAATTAGGAAGTAGTTTCCTGTTTACGTGGCAGTTGGCAGTCTCTTCATGCTTTGTAATTACACCTTTTCTAATTTATTTGCTACTCTTTGAGCAGGTTGTAGCATTTCATGTCGCATTTCTCACTGATGTGAGAAAAGTCCCGTACACCATTGTTTACTATCGAGCCTGTCACATAGCAGTCAGTCACATTCACGAGAGCCTACAAAAGATGCTTATTTAAAAGTCAATAGAATATATTTAATGTCCTATTGCAATATAGAACCTAACTTCATGTATATACTACAGAGTGAACTTTCTGATTATCATGTTTATGAAAGATGTGATGATTGATTTGACATGAAAGATGTGAAATAATTTGCAACATTAATAAGCATTGATTATTTTTGACAAAGTCAAAAAATACTCATCATTGCGCATGAAGAACACGTATTAAACTGCAAGAGAAGCGACACCAATTGTAATGGAAAGTGAAGAAAGGCAAAGGATGAGGAGGGCTCAGAGTGGAGAACGTTTTAAGTTACAAAAAGAAGTCCTTTTGCTGTAGAAACAATCTTTATTAGAAATATCACCATTATGGAAAGAAATTAAAAAAAATATTCAAAATAAATCTTTTGTGCGAAAATGTTCATATCTCTCATTGTCTTGGGCCACAATAATGTCTTCCATCACGTTTCCTTGGATTTCAAAGAAATCATTCATATCTTCCTTCCAAAATATTATAAATTAATAATTTACCCATGCCATTTATTTTCTTACTAATAATTAAAAATATTATGTAAAAATTGCAAATAAAGCAAGTATGTATGTGCTGCTGTAGTGCCAGAAGTTAGATTAGACTATGCATTTCAAATCTTTATGTTCATATTAAAAACCGTTTTTTTAAGAAGTATGTGCCTCTCAAACACACTCAAATGGTTTTAAAAAATTATTGCAAATATGTTTTTAAAATGCTACAAAACATTGCCAAAACAGCAAGCAGAGGCAATGCTTATTTAAAATCTCTAAAGGCTCTTTTAAGACAAATGTGTTTCATAATTTCATGATGTAAATAGGTGAGATATGATTCACTCACTTGGTTGTGCAGAATCATGTAGGGTATAAACAAACTTGTAGGGCCACAAAAACACATTTTTTCGCGTTATTTCTCACTGATCCGCTGTATTATACTACTACACAAACCTGCGAAAGTGTTTTCAACCAGCAACAATTTTTTTCCGCACCATACTCGACCTCACGTTCTCCGAGTTAACTCGCCGTGAACGTAATCTCTACGGTATGAAAACTTAGTTTTGAACTCGAGCCGTCGCTTAAAAATGTTATTGTCTCAACCCAATATTTTCAACACGGAATTTTCTAAAATTGGGAAAGATTAACGAAAACGAGACCAACATCATACTTTTAAGCGTCCCCCATTTAATAAATGGAAATAATAATAATAATAATAATAATAATAATAATAATAATAATAATAATAATAATAATAATAATAATAATAATGAGAACAACATGATTATTTTTAATGAATGATGAGAACAGATTTTGTTTAAGACAAAAATCTATCTACAAATTTGTAGTTTTGAAATGTTAACAATTTGCAATGTTCGAGAAATCTGAGAATTCGCCGAAAATGAGCCACCTCCATATAGTTACCGTCCTTTATTACATACGAGGAGAAAATTTAATCAAACAACTTGGAGCGGCATTTGAGAAAATACTTTCTTTAGATATTGCTTAAATTTCAGACACAAATTACGCCAAATTTACTCGTTTTTTTCAAATAGTGTACAACACCCTTTTGAAAATGCTAATTTTTTACAGCAGACTTTGTTTATGGCAAAAATTACGATCTTCAATTTTGTAGCTTTGAAGTGTTAACAATTTGCAATTTACGAAAATACGGTGTATTCCCCGAAAATGCGACTAGCACCATTTTGTTATCGTCCCTTCATGTATGTACGAAGAGAAAATTTTAAGAAAAAAGTTGGAGTGGTTTTTGAGAAAAACAAATGTTTAAAAAAAATTTAATTGCCTATATTTCGTCCAAAATTACACGGAAACTACTCATATTTTCGAAGAACTGAACATGACCTTATTTCGATACGCGCCTTTAAAGAATATATATCATTAAAAAAATCATCGTCGATACTGTAGTTGTAGCAAGACGCCCAAAAAATTACACTTTTGCAATTTTTGGAAAATCAGGAATTTCAACGAACATGAGACTACGGTGTGTTCCCTTATGCGTCCTTTACGCTATCCGAGGACAACGTTAAGTCAAAAAATTTTTATTTTTATTATTTTTGAAAATATTGGAATATTTTCGAGGCTTCATGTAAAGTACTCTAAAAAATCGAATTATCCATTTCAAACTCCCATAGTCTAGACTTCGTTCAGATTGTTGACTACAGACCGATACATAGTTTTGCTGTTAATAAATTTTTCGGTATGAAGGACCCACAAAACATGGAAATAATGGCCTACATCACGTGTTACTCGTAGAGGAAGGAATTTACTAACTGATGGGACAAAATTCATCCACGGCCCGACAATAAGAATTTATCTGTTGTCGTGCGGGTAT